CCTCTCCAAACACCCCAAATTGGGGCTCCAGGACCTCTCCTCTGCTGTTTCTGGGCACCCAAAGAGAAAAGTTCCCCATGGTGCACTCATTGCCTTTTGGCTGGGTTTAGAATTATGAGGCAGACCCAGTTTAGGGGATAAAAGGGGTTTATTTTGGTTATTTAATAGGATCCTGGGTGCACAGCTCTTCAGGGTGGAACACACTGAGATGCAAACCCCATATAACATAGATACAATTTTAATATACTTTGCAAATTAGTGTTTTTGTCTAAAATCCCCCAATAAGAAAATAAATGAAATCATGCCCCCCCTATTATTTAGAATAATTATTTAGAATTCCCCCTTAGATGAGGCCAGAGCCCAATTTCTCTCTCCAGAGAGGTTTTAACCAAGGTTGAAACTTGGGAGTTTTGAGATTACACAGGGCTCACCAACCTCCTACTGAAAATGTTTGGTTTTTCTGCCCAGCAGAACCCCAAAATTAAGTTGGAATATCCCACTACAAAAATTACAAGCATGTAGGCAAAGGGTAATACATAAAGGGCACAGAAAATATCAAAAAGGATCCATAAAATACATAAAAAGAAAATGCCAAAACCATCAGACATCACTCTCACCCCAGTGATCAGAGTGACTCTGCTGTGCCTCAGCCCAGGTGTAATGAGGGATGACTGACTTAGGGCTGCACACCTGAGTTAACTACAGCATGGGGATATTAAACAAAATTAATGTCTGGTTACGTTTAATTAAAGTAATTAGGGCTGCTGCTTAGATGGCCAAAGTAATCTAAAGGCATTCAGGACTTTAATGGAAAAATCTAAGGAGGTTCATGTAGGAAACTGAGGCTTAAATTAAACACAGGTACTGAATTGAGTGTTTAGTCTGAGGAAATTGAGAGTATGAATGTAGGAAAACACATAAAATAGTCATTATTTTTTATTCCAATTTAACGAGGGGACAAAGTTGTACTTGGAGTTAAGTCATTAATGGAACACGATCTTCTTACCCACAATGATGTTGGATTTCCATAAAAATCTAGTCAGGTATGGRTGTCTGAAGCATTTCAGACAGCTCCTGTGCCTCTCTAGTTTGCATGCAGGCCACACACCAGCTCAAAATCTCATTTAAGGTGCTCCAGCTCCTGTTATTGCACCCAAAGCCTGAACACAGCGATTGTGTCACCTCTGCTCCCCCATAAATCCCCCCAAACTCGCTCTGCTTGGGAGCTGAGTTGTTTCAAACACTCCACACAGGCAGCAGGTGATAACTTTGTGTCTGATCAACACCTTCAACCTCCTCACAACTGAAAATTCTGAGTTTATTTCCTCTCTACGCTGACACGCCGTGGACAGCAGACTTTCGTGTGTGTGTATGTGTGTTTTATGGTGAGGTGGATTATTTATATTTCATATATTTAWATTTCATATATTTATATTTCATATATTTATATTTCATATATTTATATTTCAYAGYCATGCAGGAATCTCTGACACCTTTATTCAATCTGTGTCTTATTGCAGCTGCTCTCTTTCCAATTTACTGGGGGACAATTTGTATGGAGATGGATGAAGATGCTCGAGCATCAGCACGGCGCCGTGGGATGAAGGATTCTGATGGCTTTTACCAAACCTCTGCATTACAGCACTGAAATAACAGCAGCTGGAACAATAAAACAGGATTGAGAGCTGTTGTGGTGATGAGCACCAAGGATTGGGTGAAATAAATGTGAGGGAATGGTGTCCCAGARGGATGTGCTCCATGGGGACAGCAAAGCTGAGGTGAGAACGGTGCTGCCTGCAGGGAACAGTTTGAGATGTGTTACCAGGACGGGAACAGGGGAGTGCTGTCCATGACATTTAATTGATTGATTTTAATAAAAAATGACGCTGAGAGGAGTTTTCCTTGGAACAGGGAAGTGCTGTCCATGACATTTAATTGATTGATTTTAATAAAAAAACGATGCTAGACTCAGAGGTTTGGGTCCTGGAAGGGCTGTGGGCAAATGTCCAGTGGGGATTGACAGGGTCTGAGCAAGGCAAGGGCTGTTTCAGCAGTAGAAGCAACACTTTTTGCATCAAAAAACTTGTAATTTGGTGCTTGGGGCCATGGTTTATTGGCAGATCTGGGRTTTTGGGTTAAAGGTTGGACTCAAAGACCTCAGGGATATTTTCCAATCCTGGTGATTCCATGATTGTGTAACAGATATCACACCACACTGGATTCTGCATCTCTGTAGAAGTCTTGTGTGATTTTTGTGCAACCAGCAAAGAACTAGACAGAAATAAAGTTTTTTATTTAAATGGACACCAGAATGAAAGTGTTCTTGGTTCTTTGTTTAAACAATGCTGAGAAAACAGAAAACTTCAACAGGGAAATAAAGGAGGCAGCTAAAAGTGAAGGAGCATCTTACCAAAAAATGCTGTCCAAATAAGAAAAATGGAAAAAGAGATGAGCTCTGACCAGTTAAACATAAAACTAAAATAAGATATGCCAGGAGAAGGTACCAAAGAACAATTTTCTAAGGTCTTAAAAGCCACCAGTAACTTTTTTAGGGGTGTGAGRAGCAAGGACAGTGGCTGAGGGTGTGGGAGCAGCTGGTGATCAAACTGTAAGAGCAGCACAGGGAAGATTATGGGGCAGTAAAGCTGTTTCAGTTCTTTTCCTTCCTGCTCACAAAAAGGTGCCAGGGGATGTTCCCACACAGGAGCTTCTTTGTGGGGAATGAATTTGAGAAACTGTCTGAAAATCAAGTATCAGGAAAGTGACTTTTAGTAAAAAAAAAAAAAATAAAATGAACAAATGCATCCAGGTCAGACAGAATTCTAGAATGAATCCCACAGTGATGGGAACTGCCAAAATCCCCACTTCAAACCTGCACAGGGCTTGGAGAGACAAAGAGTAGGAAATGTGACCCAATTTTTATGTATTAAGTATTTAATTTAATGTAGCAATCAT